GGCGATCACGAACTAAGGTATTCGCAATTTTCTTGAATACGGTTGACGGCCGCTTGAATTTTAGAAATCTTATGCGTCTACGCCAGTTCCAGAAACCAAACGCCACTGTGGAGGCGCAGTGGAGTCAACTACAAAATGACATTCACTCTACTACTCTGGGCTTTCTTGGTCGCGCACACTGCCAGCACCAGAACTGGTTTGATGATAAGGACGGACCAATCTGTATTCCGCCGTCCGATAAGGATAGGTTGCACGAAGTCTACATCAACCGCGGCAATTATGCCAACAAGATAACCTTGTTCGATCGAACACAGGCGCTAGCCGAAAAAAGGATTTTTGCTGCATTTTTGTTTTACCGCATAAAAAAGACACTTTCACCTCTCTATGGCGCGAGACCACCTTTATGACGGAAGAGTATAGAGTTGGGAGGGCGGAAGTCAATGCAAGCCCTAACGTGCTCAGGATCTCAAACATGTATTTAGTCGAAATAACATAAACCCAGATTTCACACTTCTTGCTGAGATCAAGAGGGCATGAGCCCCAGCGTTGATTTCAAATCAGCGTCAGCTCTGACTAATATTGACGTCAGAAGTATTGCCAGTAATACTAATACTCGGTCACACTGATAGTCAGTAGTAGTAGAAATAGAAGTAGCCGTATCAGTCTTGGCCTACTTGAGCCTGTCTTGACGCCTACTAAGGGTGAGTGAGGGTAGGTAGAGCGATAATACCCGTGCAAAGTCTATTGTCACTTAAGACTAAGTTAGGCGGTGTTTCTAGCTTGCATTGGAGAGGTGGCCAGCGTCGGGTCTCGTTTGGTTTTCTTGACCCCAGACGGAGGTGAAGAGTGCGGTTGGCGTCAACTACTTCTGCAATCACTATAACCTACCCCCCTGAGACTTGTCACCTTCCGTACCAACCTGTTGGTGTACTTGGTGGAATTAGTCGAAATCGATGGTCGAACACACACACACACACACTAGGGAAGTGATGGTAACAGGAGCCTTCTAGGAGAGGCAATATTTTTAAGAACTAGGAATGTTGTTGACGAAACTAACTATGAAGATGGCGAAATAAATTGCTATAGTGCGAATTTCTAATTAAGGCAAAGCAGTTTTGGAACCTTCAGATAGTAACGTAACTGTTTTCGAAGACGAGTTTGGCCAATGTACGTATACTTTCGATAAATTCTCGTCAAGTCTGCACATTTATATGGAAACGGGGTGAAAGTTCAAACGTACAGGCCTGACCAGAATTTATCGAAAGTAGCTGTTTCAGTTGAAGGAGAATACGTGCACATGAATACAATGTAGACAAAAAATAAATCCGTCTACTCAAGGTCGAACGTGAAGTCACTTTTATTATCTCTTAAAAACGCACCGTAACGGAAGATAAGCGACATATAAAACGGCCGAAAAACCTAGCCAACCTTGAAAGTAGGAAAACATCTGATGACGTGTTTTTGAACCATGTGTTAACTCGAAAATAAGGGCACAGCCTAAATAATTGATGCGGCGAGTGAAAGAAAAAACAGTAGCTGGTAGACATATAGCATAGTCAACAGTTTCGAAGGCCGTCCACATTAACCAAACCGTTTCCTTTTAAGTTCATCTAGCCACTCCTGTATATGAACTAAGAACCTGCACACAAATACCCCCTGTATTTTAATCTAACGTTGAAAGATAATGAGAGTAAATTAAAGCCTAAGCAATTTTTTATAATCACAAGGACTTTCACCATTAGGGAAGACATCCAATCCACCAATCAGACTGTCTTCCCTAAACTTTGAAATTAACCTTATACCAGATCCCTATAGCTCCTATTTACGGAACACTCAACAAAAACCAGACGTATTATCAAGCAGGGTCTGAGTGTATATATTTTTAGTTAGTAGCTACAGCGGAAGGGCCGTTGGTCACTCGTCACTCTAAAGCCAAACCGGCCCATCAGAAGCTACCGCGCGACGCATGACGTCACCCCGCTTGCTCGCCGAGCGGCCGCAACTGCTCGAGGCAGCCACGCGCATGTGTCCAGGTTGCCGAGCCTTTTTCTTAAACCGATCAATCAGTCGACTTCCTAAGAGGTTGGATTCTGATGGAGAGATGTAGCTTCTTAGAAGAGATTTATTGTGACACCGAGGGTTCGGAGAGCTTGTTCGACTCACTATTGTCATAAGCGCTAAATGCAAAATACTGAACACCAAATTATAATGACTGACGAGACGAGATAACCTTGGGCTGATCGATTGTTTATCTTTTGTTTTCTCCACCTTTTGGCAGATGACAGAATTTGAAATTAGCAGCGGCGTAAAAGGCGGACATCATGTCCGACGTGAATGCTCGCGTACCCCACACACA